TAGCTTTATGTCATCATCTCAGCCAGGTCTTGGCCCTGAGTGTGACATCTGTCTCCTGTGTGGAAAGACTGCAGGCTCTAACCGCCCCAGAACTTGGCCACTTCAGCCCTGAAGACCTTGCACACGAGGACTAGCTCGTAAGCCCACCTGTTACCTTCTTTGTATTTTACACCAGTCAGCTAAGCACCACAGTAATGCCGAGTAACAAACCACTGTAAAGCTCAGAGGCTTAAAACAACCAGAATTTATTCTCACGGGTTTACAGAGTGATTTGCTGTTTGGCTGATCTAGGATGGCCTCCGCTGGCCTTGGTCCCAGGTCAGCTCCACATGTGTGTCATCCTCCCTGGACCGGCGGCTGCCCAGGGCGTGATCTCCTTACGACCGTGGCAAAAGCACATGATTGCAAGGCCCGACTGTGTAAGCTCATGTCAAGCCTCTGCTCATGTCATGTCTGATAACGTCCCACTGGCCAGAGCTAGTCACATGGCCATGCTCAACTTCAAAGGGGAAATTTGCTCCACTCGCAACGAAGCCATGGAAAAACTATGGATGAACGATCCTATTACAGGGATGTGATGGATTGAGACCCATCATTTAATCTGTCACATTCTTTCAACAGAGTAAGAGATGAAATTCTGATTAGATGACAGCCTCATCCACCAGAATGCATACCATTCCCTGAAGCCATATCACAGATTATAAAATATTTGTTCACCACCATCTCTGAACAGACTTCCTCTCACTATCGTCACTGTCTTATAACTCAAAGATACATGGGCTACATACCTCTTTGGGTGGTGCTATAGTTTGGACACACACATTCAGCCCATAACACAGGACAACTAGAATTCTCATACATTTGCTGGTGGGAATACAAAATGGAACTTTGAAGAACTATTTTGGAGCACCTCTCAAATAGAGGCTTAGCCCAGAAGTCCTTTCTAGAAGCTAGAAATGACTAGATAGCTACCCAGTCCACTCATTTGTTTGGGTTGTTTAAAATTTTTTTAAATTTGAGAAATGTAGATAAAAGTTATATATGGTGAAATGCATAGGTCTCAAGTGCACAAAGTTGGGGGAGTTTTGACAAGTGTGCACCCCGGGTAACTACCACAGTCAAGCTACAACATTCCCATCCTTCCAGAAAGTCTCCGCAAGTCCTCCAACCCCCAGTCCCAGGCAACCACTAATCTGCCTTCTGTCATTACAGATTACTTTGCTTCTAGAACTGCATACAAATGGAAGCAAACAGTGTGCAGTCTTTTATGTCTTCCTGCTACATGCTGTTTGATTCCATTTATTTTCCGACGTAATGGGGCCAGAGAAATGCCAGTCCCAAGCAGACTCTGGCGATCCCTGGCTGTGGCAGACACTGTTGAGGCTGGACCTCTACCCTGGCCTCCCCATGGCTGCGCCCACAGCCTGGCTCCCACCTGACTGCACCTTGCCCGAGGGCTTTCAGTGGCTGCCGACACCTGCCTTGCTGCCTTCTCTGCACGCTCGACTTAATGTCCCCAGGAGCAGTGGCAGATGGGGTGGGTGGATAAATCCAAGCTCCTCTGCCCTTCATGGGGGTGGGGATCACTTGTCTTACATGAGTTCCCCAGAGTTTCCCTGCAAGATTAAACTCCAGTGGGCCTCAGTAACTTCTTGAGTACCCACCCTCTATTGCCTGCCTTTGTTTCTCCATCTGGGCTCCCCATTCCCTCACTTCCACCTCCCATGCGTTGAATCCCTACCTCAGGTTCTCTGTCTGGGGTCGGACAAAGACACCAGGGAACCTGTGTGTTTCAGACAAGAGGCTCCTGGCTGTTGGGTTTGCAGAAGGGGGGTCCCGACCTGCCACCTCAATCTTCTGCGGTAAGTAGTTACCATAAATCTTTCCTCACAGTTGGAATTTTAAGCTTGTATACACTTTCTCCTGCGATGTAGTAATTTCCCTGGGGGTCGGAGGTCACACATCTGCCCTTCTCTGCATCCTGAACAGGCCCCAGCACAGGACGCTGAGCAGGACTGGGACTTGTCACCCACGTGGGCATTTATTGGGCCCCAGCCCTGGCCCAGCAGTGTTTAAAATATGCCCAGTATGGGCTCCCGGCAAGTGGGCGCTGGGCCCACCCACCTTTGTGCTTTACTCAGCTCACCGATTCAAATGCTAACTCTTCCTTCTGGAAACACCTGCACAGACACTCTCAGAAATAACATTTTACCACCAATCTGGGACTCCCACAGCCCAGTTAAGTTGACACTAAATTAATCATCACACCGGCAATCTGGATTGAAACAAGCCCCTCCAGACTCTGAAATCGGTGGTTTTGGTGGCTCAGTGAGGTCAGTTAAGACCTATGTGCTGTGTCCACCCCTGCATTGTCCCATCCTTGGCGTGTTGGCTTTTGTCCCCAGCTGGTCACCTCACAGCTATCGATTGGACTACTCTGGCTCCTCCCACCACAGCCTTACCAGACAGCAATGGCTTTGCAATCCTTTTTATTTTTTTAAAATGTTAATTGAATTTAATTTTTTAGGGGACAGGTCTCTAAGCCTCTCATATTCCTTTAAAACATTTAAAGAATTCAGAAACGAAAAGCCACAAATCTGTTGGGTCTCAATGGCAACCGAAGGGGGAAGAATTTTGACGGGGCCGTGGCAGATCACGCCCATCTGGAGGTTGCCGGTTTTCAGAGGCCAGTGGTGTGGCGGTCAGGGCACGAGGAGCAGCCTGCCAGGGTGCAGACAGGAAGAGGAGTATCATCTGCTGAGAATTTAAATAATAAAACTGGCCGAAAGCTGGTCTGCTTTTATTATCGCTATGTGATGGCAATTCCTAACAATGTCACTGGGACAGAACTCCCTTGAGTCCTGGCATGCTTTGGATTTCTTATGTATGGGCTGGGGAACTGCGCTCCCCTCTGACACACTGAGGGAGGAGATGACAGCCCAGCTGGGGACCTGTCTGAATAATTCAGGCGGGACAACCCCATCCTTGAGGAAAGCAGATACGGGTGGTGGGGGCACGGAGTTCTCTGTTGGCTGCTTACAGCGGACTTGCTGGGGAATTGTCTGCCCTCTTGATTTTGTATTCTCTGTGCAGGTGATGTTCATACCTGCTGGCCTCCTGGTAAAAACCTGGTTTCAGAGGCCACTGGGTTTTGTTTCACCGCTTGATGTGGATAACACAGGCTCGTGTCTCATTGCAACTATGCCAAAGCCTTTGTCGTTCTCTGCATTCCTCCCAGAGAGAAAAGAGCTACCAGCAACTCCATTTAACAGAGCTTCACTTACACATCAGAGCAGTCTGGGATAGGACACGACACAGGCTCCAACTTGACGGGGCTTCGTATGGACAAATCTGGGACAATTTGAGCAAGAAAATAAATAGTGATAATAACAGCTTATGACCCACAGAATACAATAAATATCCACAAGTCCATATGGAGGTAAACAAATAATTGAACAAATAAAGAACTGAAGGAGAAGAAGCAGCTCTTGCTTACTGCAGAGTGAGTGATGGGAATGGAAAAGGACCATCGGGCGCACGTCCCCTGATGGTGGCAGGTGTGGGGGCCAAGGGTGAATGCAAAGGGCCAGGCCAAAGTATGACGGAAACTGGATATTTGCAAGGTCTCAACGTACCTCCTGCAAGATATTTACTAATCGCAAAGGGAAAGACAGTAACTCTGCAGTGGAGAAACAGGATGGGCCCAGGTTAACCACATGATCAAGGTCAACGTCAGCAACACTGGGACGTGACATCATGCAGCCCTGATACGATGCCCTGGGGAGGGCCCTAGGGTGCCCCTGTGGTCTTCCTGTCAGAAACACCCATCCTTAACCTAACCGTGAGAAAACATCAGACCCCAAATGAGGGACAATTTAGGGAGTAAGTGGTCAATAGTCCTCAAAAGTATCAAGGTTATAATAGACAAGGACAGAAGAGCTGTGCCAGGCCGGAGGTCACCAGGGAGAGGAGAAACCAAACGCAGCGTGGCATCCTGGGCCAGGACATGGACATTGGCGGGACGATCGGCGAGATCTGAATACGATCTGCAGATTAGTTAGCAGTTTGTACCAATGTTAATTTCTCGGATTAGATCCTTGACGCTGTGGTTATGTAAGATGTCAATGTTTTGGGGAAATAGGGTGCAGGTTAAACTAGGTACTATTTTTGCAAACTTCTTGTAAGGCTGAAATTTTTTCAAAATAAAAAATAAAGAAATAAAAGTGGGTTCTATAGAGTCATTCTGCCTCTGTTCGAATCCGGCTGCATGACTTTACTAGCTGTGTGTGACTTTGAAAGAGACACTTCACTTTTCCTTCCCTCGGTTTCTTCATGTGTAAAATGGGAATAAAAATAGCACCTACCACAGAGGGTTGTAATGAGGATGAAATGTGTTAATACATGTACAGTGATCAGGACTCAGCACCTTGGCTTAGAGTAAGAGCCATGTTATCATGTGTAATTATCCTATGAGACCAGCAGCATCTTCTGCCGATCTTAGGGATATTTCTTCTTCTTCTCTCTCTCTCTCTCTCTCTCCCCCCGCCGCTCCCCCCAAAGTTTCTGATGCAGACCCTGGCTGGCATCGATGCCTTCTGCAATCAGCTACGTTGGTCTAAAAGCATTTCTCCCTCTTCCAGCAGCCAGAGAAAGCCAAATTCAGCACTAGGATCTGTGACTTAAGCAATTTTCACTTTAGAGGAATCAGAATAACTACTCTCTCAGTTAGGGCTGCTACCTGGGAGATGCCTGCATTGCAAAGACAGAGCATGTCACCAAAGAACCTTCTGGGGCCAGTTTCCCTTAGCCCCATGGCAGGGTCCAGACCTTTTGGGCTTGTGGGATGGACAACCCTGATTGGTTTGGGGAGTGTCTGTGTGTGGATCTGCCTCACAATTACCTGCCCGAGCCCTCAGCTCATGTCACACTTTAGCATTTGTTTGGCCAATAAGACTGTGGCACACACACCGGGCTCAGTCCCTGCTTGGGCCTTCCCTTTGATGTCACAATCCGACCTGTGGGTATTAACCTGATCGCAGCTGCTCACAGACCAGACAGCAAGGTCAAGAGGACCAGCACAGGAGGATGTGGAAGAGGATCGACCATCAGCCCAAGATCAAAGCAGGGGATGGACCCCAGGCGTGCCAGTTCAAGGCTCTGGGTTCTGCTCGGGAGCCTGCCATGCCCCTTCCTCTGGAGCTGTCAGGATTCCCGAGCTTCCCAGTGTTCGAGGACATCAGCCATCACATCAAAGAGGTGGGAGCCCAACTGGTGAAGAAGGTCAATGCCATCTTTCAGCTGGACATCACCAAGGATGGGAAGACCATTCAGCAGTGGACCATCGACCTGAAGACTGGTTCTGGGGACATGTATCTGGGCCCTGCCAGGCTCCCGGCAGACACTGTCTTCACCATCCCAGAGCCTGTCTTTATGGAGTTGGTTTTGGGCAAGATGAACCCACAGAAGGCTTTCCTTGCCGGGAAGTTCAAAGTGAGTGGCAAGGTTCTGCTTGGCCAGAAGCTGGAAAAGGTTTTCAAAGATTGGGCCAAATTTTAAGCATGCATAAATACCAAGGAAGAACTTCTCTCTGATTATGTCGAGTGGAAATCATGCTTAATCTGAAGATTAAAGTACAAAATATTCAATATTTTTACTCAAATTCTTCCTATTCAAGTATGATTAGGATTTTCCTGCTAATGTGTAAATTTGCAGTGAGAGTTCTAGAGCAGTAAAGAATGTTGCAGTGCATCACCTACAATCTTTGTCTTTTTCTGTTCTTTGCTCCATTTGTGCTGTAATAGGCCAGGGTAAAAGCCACATGTAGAGAAATGGGCAATTATAATAGTTGGATTTAAATGCTCCAATGATTGCATTCCTGAGAATTTTATTTTCTCTCTCTTTTTTTTAAAGTTTGGTGCTTTGGGGAAAGAAGTGATAACCGTTATTGGGCAGGTCTGCATCTCATGTGGTATCTTGGTTTCATGAGGAGATTTTGACGTGGGGTTGCAGGTCTCTAAGAGGGTGGGCACCACGGCTGTGTGGGTGGAACCCAGGCAATAGATGGGTAATGCTCTTGACATGTTATAACTTATGACAGATTCAATTCCAGGAGAGTTGACTGGCCTGGCAGATGTTCTACGCCAGTGGTTCCTAAACTGAAGCTTGCATCAGAATCACTCGGAAAGTTGGTTCACGTCCAGATTCTAGGTCACCACAGAGTTTCTACGCTGTAGGTCTGGGCTGGGGAGAGTGAACATTTCTAACAAGTTCCCAAGTAATGCTGATGGGACTCCCCTTGGGGAAACCCCGTCCTGCTTCACTTCCTGTCAAGGCTTTCAGTATTGACCACAACTATTCTATCCTGGACCAATGCGATGCTACCATTATTTAAAGGGTCTCTTGGAGAAAGATCACATAGCTCTCTGTGAGCCATTTCTAAAGTGTTGATGTCATTAGGCGCCTATGGACCGAGGATTTTCCGAAATCCTAGGAGATTTTTCCCTTCGTATGTTATCTGGGAGAACTAGGATAAAGTCGGCTGCAGCTGATGTGACCTCCTTATGGGTGAGCATGTGTGTGCGCGCGTGTGTGTGTCATTGGTTCACATGTGGTCTGTGTGTACCATTATCTTGTAGGTTAAATATATGCAGTGGGGATACTCTTAAACCCAGATGACAGTTTCTTCAAAACTCCTGTGCTTAAACACATGCTTACTAAAGGATCCAGCCATTCCATTCTTAGATATTTTCCCAAGAGAAAAGAAAGCTCATGTACCAGCACAAAAACGTGTGTGTGAATGTTCACGGCAGCTGTGTTTATAGTAGTCTTACTCTGGAAGTAAGCCAGATGTCCGTCGATAGGTGAATGGATGAACAAATTGTGCTAGGACATGCTGTGGAATACTATTTAGCAATAAAAAGGAATGAATTATTGGTTTGCACACAACCACATGGATGAACATCAAAATAATTATGCTGAGTGAGAGAAGCCAGAGAAAACAGAGCACATACTGTATGATTTTATTTATAGAAAATACTAGAAAATGCAAACCGTAGTGACAGAAAAAGAGATCAGTGGTTGCCAAGAGCAAGGGTCTTGGCGAGTGGGGACGGTATGACAAAGGGACACTAGGAGACTTAGGAGTGCTGGGTGTATTCACCTTCCTGCTTGTGGAGATGTTTTCCCAGGTGTATCAAATTGTGCACCTTATATATACATATGCAGTTTACTATGTGTTATAGAAGCTAATAAAACTGCCTTTAAGAACCTGCCCCCCTCCATTCGAAACGCGGCCTTCGTGTGGTTGCGTTTCTGAAGAGGGTCTATAGCTCTGCCCTTCCCTGGGCAAAACGAGTCTTCTGCCCTCATCGCAGGTCTAGCTTCCCAAGCCCTTGCTGACTCGGATGGCTCTGCAGAGGCGGTCTTGCGTTGTCCACGTTAGACACGGGCAGAGTGAGGGCTTGCTGCTCACGGAGTGCCATCTCTCTGTGGGGAAGGAAGGGCCACCGGCCCAGTGGGTGCTCTGCTGCGTGGCAAGAAGCTGCCAAGGGGCTGTACTTGGGAACCTGGTGGGCACCCTGGCTTCTCTCCCCACCTGGGTCATTAAACATCCGCAGGCTGTTCCCCCCAAGGCCCCCCACCCCGGGCAGCTGGGGGGGTCTCATAGGCTTCCAATGGATGGTGAGTGCGTCAGGAGGGCTTGGCTCCACTGGTCCAGGCTGCCCCATTGAGCTGCGTTCATGGGTGTTGGCATGGGGCCGGCAGGTGTGGGGGATGCTGTTGCACCCACATAATGGGCATGGCTCCCCCAAGCCCCTGTTTATCGGGGGTCTTCCTCATACGTGTGCAGATCACAGCCTCTGCTGTTGGGCCCTGAGACAGAGCAGGTGAAGAGGGGTTCCGCAGGGTCATGCCTGGGCTGGCATCTGACCTATGACCCATTCTCACTTGAGACAGAAAAACGACCCTTTCCCGAGAGTTTGGAACTAGGAAAGTGAGAGACTGAGCTACAAGCAAACAGGGAGAACAGAATCTGGGAGGCTGGGACATAGCAGTGGTAGAGGAGGGGTGCCGCGCAGGGGCTGGGGGGCTGGAGGAGCAGAAGCCTGGAGCCAGAGGGGGTGATGTCCAGCTAGGGAGGCAGAGAGGAGCCAGGCCTCGGGGAATGCGGCAGCAAACCCCTTTAAAACAAAAGAAACAAACATCCTAGCACTAGGGGCTAGGATGCCATGTGGGGCGGCTGGGAGGACTCAGCTTTGGAATCGGAAACACGGTTCTGAGCCCAGGGTCCCCACCTCCCATCTGCGTCCCCACAGGCCATTATTGAGCCATCTCTTGCCCCAGCTTCTCAGCTGGGAACAAGCCAGCAGCCCTGGAGATGGGCGCTCCCGTCAGGGCGTGCCGAGACAGCCCCTGGCCAAAGGAAGGCCTCCTATAAATGGGAGTCCCTTTCTCTTCTCAGTGAGGGGACAGGGGGGATTTGCACTGACCCCCCACTGCCTCCCCTAGAAGTCCCCACTCGGGGCTTTCATGCACTCTCCCAGGGACCTTTCCGCCTTTACTCGTGTGCTCAGTGGGTGCCCTAGAAGGTCACATCTGCCTTAGAACACACATCTGTGTTTTGTTGGGTGTCTACACAAGGCTGGCCAGCACAAGTTATTACAGTTTGAATCCGGACATTTTACATAAAAAAATTGGATTTCTGGGCTACCTTGAGAAACCGGATCATTTGGCCACACTAAGCATGTATTCCTGCCAGACAACAGGCCGGGCGTGGGGACCAGGTGGGCCCTCCAGACGGACCAGGCCCCCTCTTCTCATGGTGGCCCTGGCTCCCATGGCTGAGCTTTGGGGGCCACCTGCCATGGAGTGCACGCTGCCGCCTCCTCAGGCTGGGCTGCTTGGCAGGGCCTTGTCAGCGTTCGTGTTTGTGACCTCAGCTCCCCATGGGACATGGTCTTACTCTTCCCCCTTACTGAAATACCCTGCGTTGTTTTTCTACGGCTGTGTGACCAATTACTACAAATTGAGCGTGTTAAAACAACACCCATTCATGAACACACAGTTTCTGCAGGTCAGAGGTCCAGGTGGGCTGGGCTGGGGTCTCATCGCCCAAGCCTGAACAAGGTGTTGGCCAGGCTGCTGGACTCTTCTTACCTGGGGCTTAAGGGAAGAATCTGCCCCAAGCTCACTCAGATTGTGGCAGAATTTAGTTTCTTGCAGTGGTAGGACTGGGGTCCCTGTTTAGGATGCCGAGGATGCTCTCTCAGCTCCCTGAGGCCACCCACATTCCTGACCACGTGGCTTCTCCACCTGCAAAGCCAACAACAGTGTGTTGAGTTCTTCTCAGGTTTCAAATCTCTCTGAATTCTTGTCTTCACCTTCTACTTCTACTGTAAAGGACTCGTGTGATTCCACTGGGCCCACCCAGATAATCCAGGATAGTCTCCTTTTATTTCTTTTTTTAAATTTTATTTCATTTTATGTTTTTTAGAGATACTGTCTCATGCTGTTGCCCAGCCTGGAATGCAGTGGTGTGACCATAGCTCGCTACAGCCTCGAACTTCTGGGCTCAAGTGATCCTCCTGCTTCAGCCTCTCAAGTAGCTGGGTCTGCAGGCTCATGCCACCACACCTGGCTAATTTTTTATTTTTACTTTTGTAGAGATGGGGTCTTGCTATGTTGCCCAGGCTGGTCTTGAACTTCTGGCCTTAAGTGATCCTCTTGCCTTGGCTTCCCAAAGTTCTGGGATTACAGGTGTGAATCACCACACCCAAGCTTTTTTCTTTTTTAAAAAAGTTTATTTCTTTTTAAAAAATGTTGTTATGATTATATATATTTATGGAGCACAAAGTGAATTTCTCCATCTTAATGTCAATGAATTAGTAATCTTAATTACATCTGCAAAGTCTTTTTTGCTATGTAAGGTAATGCTATGGGCTGAATGTTTATGTCCTCCTCCAAATTCATATGCTGCAGCCCTAGAGCCCTAGTGTGATGGTATTTGGAGATGGGGCCTTTGGGAAATAATTAGTGTTAGATGAAGTCCTGAGGATGGGTACCCCATGATGAAATTAGTGTCTTTATAAAGAAGAGAGAGAGATCAGAGTGTTCTCTCCCTCCCTCTTTCTCCTTTTCCTCCTTCTCCTCTCTCTTTCTGGCAAGTGAAGATACAGCAAGAAGGCAGCTGTCCGTAAAACAGAAAGAGAGCCCTCACCAGACCTGACCGTACTGGCACCCTGGACTTCTCAGCCTCCAGAACTATGAGAAATAAATGTCTGATTAAGCCAGTCTGTGATATTTTGCTATAGCAGCCCAAACTAAGACAAGTAATGTATTCATGGACGTGGTATCTCATCACAGCCATGGTCTTAAAGATTGAGGTATGGAGTCTTGGGGGCCATAATCCTACCTTCTCTCCTGGCTTTACCATCTAAATTCCACCTTCATTTCCTAGATTTTCCTCCATGAAACTGCCCCAATTCCATCACTGTCTTCCTGTCACACCATTCATATGTCCCTCTTTTTCCCCAGCCCTGTGGTCTGACTGTGTGAGTGTTGTCCTATCTGGGCCGATGAAATGTCCTGGTTTGCCCAGGACAGTGCCAGTTTGCACTGCCATCTTGGTGTTCGGTTAGTAGCCCCTCCTTTCTCAGAAGA